ATTGACTTTGTCACAAAAGGTGAATTATATGATCTCAGGACACCGCTACTGTCATAAATATGAACCAGTTGCCAAGCATCTGAATTTTGATCACATGACTATGGGAATGCTGCAATGTTCGTTAAGTATGGGAAATGGTCATAAGTCACTTTTTTCAGTGTCATCATAACTTTGAACAATCACTAAACAAATGGTTGTAAGTCTTGTACTGTTTAGATACAAGACTACTGCAGACTGGAATCAAAAGTTTACAAAAGGTTATATATTTGTGCGCCACACACATACGTATCCCAAAACCTGAGTGACTGGAAGAATTGATTTGAAATACAACTTTGAAAGCAAAATTGTATTTCAAATCAAAGACATCTCTGTTCTATTGTGCATTAAGATCTTTATTTTATTCCTCCTGAATAAGGCAAAGACCCTCTTTTCTGTTCCATCCTAACTCTCCAGCCTACATTGTGTGTTTCTGTGTCGAAGTCTATTTAATTTGCTATTTCTAGCTGAAGGTTTCTCAGCAGAGATCGGGGACCTGAGACGCAAGAATCGAGTTTAACCTGAACCCAGCCTTACCTTTTTATACCTTTCGCGCAAATTTGCTCCGCCCACAGAACTGCAAATCCCAGCAGCCGGCTCTGCCCGAAGGAAAAGTAGGAGGAGAAAGAGGTGCGACTTTAGCTGTCAGACTTTAACCCGAATACGCCGACTCGCAGCTTTCTTGGACCGCGAGTCCTCTTGGGTTGTGTAGTTCCAAAAGGCAGCGTCTCGGATGGAGCCGTGATGCATCTCGGGACATGTAGTCGGGACGGCCTGACAAACCACTGGCGGTTCTGGTGCTCAGTAACTGCGCCGTGTCCAAGCAGCCTCCCGCCCCTCGCAACAGGTTTGCGCGGCCCCTTCCCGGTCGCTTCTTCGGGGTGGAGGCGAGCTGCTTCTGGACTTACCCGCGAAAGGCGAGACGTAGCAGGCAGGCGAGCCAAACAAGCGCCCAGCTGCTGCCCGCAAGGTAAGGGTGAGCCAGCGTTCGGACGGAGAAGAGGACCTCGCATTGCGGCGGGAGGGTGCGCGTGCCTTTCCCCACCAGGGATTGTGCGGGATTTTGCTCCGGCCCCTCGCAGTCCTTTGCTTTCGCTTGCTGCTTGTTTTCCACGGACTTCGCGCTCCCCTCCCAGGAGCGAAACAATTGCTTAACTTACTCAAGTATGGAAAGATTGTCCGGGCACCTTAAGACTAAGAGCTGTACTGCGGCATAAACTTTCGTGGTTTAGACCGAGCATCATGTGATGCGCTTATCAAGGTTGGAAGAGGTCTTCAGGAAGCCTTGCTAAAGGAAGAGGTGAAAATCCAAAGTGAAATTCTGTTTCAAAATGTGTAGCTCTTTTCCGTCTCTTTACAAATTGAATATATATTGTATAAATATTCTTTATATTTTTCCGAACTAAATATAAAATTGGATGTATCTGAGGAAATGGACATTACTGCAGGATAGTCGTACCTGTGCAACTAATTACTATGTTTGCCACTCTAATGTCACCTGTGGTTCTTTCACTTTTCATGGCTTCCTTTTCCAGTTGTCCATAAATTGCATCTGTTGATGAAATTTGATCTCCCATAGTATGTTGAGATCTTCTTGTCCTGCCTGGATTTGTCTTAAAACATACATAGTCTTTTTTTTTTTAAAGCTTTTGGGAAGTCTGTGAAATATATTATTGGTGAGATTGCTTGTCTTTACTTTCTTTTAACATCTGAGATTTTACTGGCTTTTTAGACTGTCCCATTTGAATTGATGGCTATTTAGTTTGAAGAAAGGAAGAATAAATAATTTTAAGATTTCTTTAAAAATCATGAAATAACTTCTAGGCTTCTAGGTTTTGATTCTATTTATAAACAGTTATTTTGACAAATGTTTTGGTGTGTCATACTTTCTGAATTTGCCATTTAGAATCTTTATTTCTCAGATTAATCCTTTAGATATTTGAATATGTAAGTACTCAAAATTATGAAGCAGCTTTCCTGATTCAGATACATTTATGAGAGTCTCCTAGCTCCATAGGTACATTTTATAGATAGTTTCTTTTCTTATAGTCAATACATACCTTTTTCTCATCTTTCTCTTACAGTTGATAATATTGTTATAACTTGTGTAAGATTGGTAAAGTTATGTTTCATCTTGTAAATTTGCTTTGAAACAAACATTTTACATGCATTTAACATGTATCCCACAAATTGGAATACTGTATTTGTCTTGATAGACAGAACACTAAACACAGGTACTGCACTTCTTTCCTGTGGGTTGTTATTTTGCCTTTTCTTTAACTTTAAGATGGCAGGCACCCATAATTGTCCTAACATTTGTGTGTGTGTGTGTGTGTATGTGTGTGTGTAGTTATAATGGATCTTCTACCATTTATTGTCTTGAAACCACATTTCTAAATTAGATGTGATCATTGCTTCCATATTTGAAACAAATGGGGTTTTTTTCCTGGCTACTTTTTAAATTGGTGAGCTTTATGTTATAATTGCACTTTAGTTTATATTCTAAACAACTTGTTATTAAGTATTCCAGTTTTCATTTATTTTAATTCTTCAATTATGCTTTGATTCCTTTTCTCATTGAGGGGTTTCTCTTATCTTTATATAAAGATATGTTCAGGCTTGAGATTTGTTACTGCTGAACTTTTTCATATGTTCTCTTATGATTCTTTTTTACCATTTCTATTTTCTTCTTTGAATACACTCAGATATAATTGGTAGCCTGGCTGTCATTTAATTAAGGCCAAATCATAACGTTATTACTGTGTACTTGTGGAAGAATAGATTTTGTTTGTTTGTTTCAGATCCATCAATCTGGGTAGTAGAGCACACTCTTAAGAAGCTGGATAGGGTGAAGAAAAATACACTCACAAGTTTGCTTTCTCATACCTGGTGTTTTGAAACAAGTCACATGCACAGTGACATCCTTCAATTGGCATTTTATTTCAGTGCCTAATGTCAGCCACGCAAGAGCCTCATGACTGGAGTGGCAAAGAAAACAAAGTAGTAACTAAGTGAATAGATAAATTTATTAGATTCCAAATATGTCTACTAGTTCAAAAAGTTAGAAATTCACACTGTACTGATTCTAGCAATTGTAAGCAAAATCCACTGCTTAGTTTTTCTAGGTCCAAGATTTTAAAATGTATCTTAAAAACTTGCCAAGGTGAGATTTTTTTTTCCTTTTATTTTTTTTAATCTCCAACGGAATTTGAAGATAAAATGCTTTGATCACAGATTATATACATAGTTCTATCATTACTAGTTTCATTTATGACTTTCCTGTGGAAGCTTCTGCTGTTTTTCTAATAACCTCTAACCCTTGCAACCTACTTCATCCTTGAGAACCATTTCAAGGGCCTAGTACTTTGAAATCAATTCCACAAGACAGTTTGATTCTATAAGCCCAGTTGCCTATTTATTATTACAATTCTCTCTTGCCTTCATTTTGTATAACTCAAGGAGGCATACATAATGTTCTTCCTTCCTGTTTTCTCCACAAAAACAACCTATGAGGTGGTTTGGGCTGAAAGTTATTAATGGTATATTGTTGGTATACAGCTAGTGTCAGCTCTTGTACTTCTAGTGTAATGTTGGATAAGGTGATGAAATGTAGTAAAGAGGTGGATTTCCAGGAGCCAGGGGGTGCATTCCAGACGAGTAAAAGGCAACTCAGTTCAGGTATTATGANGGGTAACATGACCAGCTCTGCATCCTTCAGTTTTCTTTGCTCAGCATGGGTCAGGTTCTGCAGCAAGGTGGCTCTTAGGAGTGATCTGTCTTAGAAGCATGCCTGAACTCTATCAGCAACTCTGTCTGAAATATTCAATATGGTACTGGAACAATGCATAATCAACTGTAAAGCTACTTAACAATTTAGTCCTCATTTTCTATGTTCCTGGTGAATATTTTGGAAAGCAGTATAGATAGTCCTCGATTTAAACCACATTTGGGACCAGAATTTCTGTTGCTAAGCAAGGCAGAACTTTGTTCAGTGATTTTCACCTGATTTTATGACCTTTTTGCCATGGTTGTGAAGCGAATCATTGCAGTTGTTAAATGAATCATGTGGTTAAGTGAATCCACCTTTCCCTATTAGCTTTGTTCATCAGAAGCTGGCTGAAAAGATAACAAATGGTGATTACATGACCCCAAAACACTGTGATCATCATAAATACATGCTGGTTGCCAAGCATCTGAATTTTGATCACATGACCAAGGGGATGCTGCAATGGACATAAGTATGAGGACCAATCATAAGTCACCTCTCTCTGCCATTTTAATTTCAAAAGGTTGCTATGTACCTCGTTGTGGGTAGTCAGAGAGCAATTTCTTTCTTAAACTGTAACTTTCCTGGATAGCCAAATGTTCTACTCTAAATCGGGAAGCTGTCAAAAATGTTATACTCTTATTGTTAGATATTTCCAAACACAGGCTGAGAACAGCACACAATGCCACGTTCTAGTCTGCATTCCCAGAGTTCCACTTGGCTCTCTTGAAAGAGGCAGTCATATGATAGCAATTAAAATGGCAAAGTTAGCACAAATTACTTTTCACACAAAGAGTGAGGGTGCAGAAGAAAGAGGAAGAAGAATAGAAGTTGAAAGAAAATGAGAAGGGGAAATTAATAGAGATCTGGGGCAGTAAAAGAAACTGCAAGATCTGCATTACATTTGGAAAGATATAGATATTACATTTTAATATCCCTGTCTGCTTCTGTTTATATTAGTAAACTTTGGTTTGAGGTTCCTAGTTTTGATACTTAACTATTAAAATACTTAATGATATTTAATAATCTTAAATTATACTCTGGATTTGTAGAATTATTATTTAATTGTATATTTTTATATGTAAGGTTCCATACTTTTTTGTCATTTAATTTGAAATTTTGCTTGAAAGGATATTATTTTGGAAAATTGAAATATTTGTAAACTTTTTTTATTCTTCCAGATACTTGTGAAAAAAAATAAAACAGAAGAGAATCACTTAAGTTCAACAATTAAGACATATATAAACTTTCTTAAAATTTCTAATGAAGGATGACTACTCCATATGTTCCTGTTCCAATTCCTATAGGAAATTCTACTAGTTTTACCATAAATAGAAACCAAAGAAGATCATCTCTTGGGAGTATTTCAGCATGTTCAGATTCTCCAAAGGGACAGTTAGAAGAGTCAGCTAAAAGTAACTTTAAAAAAATGAGTGTTCCCGATGAGATTGGTACTACTTCATGTCCTTGCAATAGTCCACTTGTTAGAACTAAAATGCTAGGTATAAATACCTCTATGGAATATTATATTCAACCATTGGAAACAACTGAGCAAAACACCAACTTGGAGAACTGGGAAGATCGACCCGCTACTCCTACAATACTTGGTTATGAAGTAATGGAAGAGAGAGCAAAATTCACTGTAAGTTGTAATATTTTTCTTCTGAAAATTATATTGCACTATTTCATTTAATCACTGACATTTTCCAGATATGAATATAGCTTCCCAGCTGTATGGGACAGCAGTTCTTGTTTTCTAATGATTTTTAAATTGCTTGCATTTGCATTTAAACTGCTGCATTTGTAGATCATTTACTGGTTTCAGCATAGTTCTTAAATATCTTACTTAGGTTTGTATATTTTGTATATTTTAATTCTGTTCAGTTTTACATACATAGTTTTCATGATAATTTGCAACCTTATTACCCTTAGAATCACTGAATGCATTTTTGAATAGGCAGAACTTTTTTGTTGTTGCCATCTTTATTCGCAAATATAATCAATAAAAGCTACATTTTGAAAAAAAAACACGCATCTAATGTATGTTGATGGAATAGCAAACACTCCAATCTTGCCTCATTCAACACAACAATATCTTTTAGAATTCAGGAATGGATAAGGTGTAAAAACATCTTATAACTGAGTAATAATTAAGAAGTTATCTAGCAGATCCTACCAACACTTTTAAAAAATGGAAGAGTATAAGAATTTGTTAGTTTAGTTATTAGATAATTATCAATTAATTTCCTATGCAATTTGAGTAATCATAAATGAGTGCTATATTTTTTTACTTATGTTGCAAAGATTCATTGGAAATTATTTTCATTCATTGTGCAAATAAATGATCCCAACTATATATCCCAGGAAATAAAGGCTACTGTTAGAAATCCTTCAGATTAAATATACTGTAGTTTAAATAAATTGTACCTGTATATAATTTGTAGCAATCTTACATGTTTATGAAATCATTTTTTAAAATTACTGGCTGAAACCATTAATTAGTTCATCTTGGCTAGTAGAAACCACCTCTATCCTGAACTTGTATGAAAAAGTTATTTTTTAGATTTCTGTAAACTTTGCCACATCTGTTAATGGTTGTTCCGTAAACAAAGAATGGTTATGTGAACTATTCAGTAATTACAGTGAAATATGAGAAGCCTGCTACACATGCTGTTTCCTGGAGCTATTTTAATAAGGTTTTGTCTTGTTTGTTTTTAACAGGTTTACAAAGTACTTGTGAAGAAAAATCCAGAAGAAAACTGGGTAGTTTTCAGAAGGTATACAGACTTCTCCAGGCTCAATGACAAGGTATATGCATTTAAACAGGCCAATCAGTAATTAATATTACAGATTTAATATTGTTCCTGTGTTTCATAAATTACTTTGAAACGTTAAAAATAAACACATATGAAAATCAACATAAAATATTGCATGAAAATATGTGTATTATTTGCCATAAAGTCAATATATAATTGATTTTATTGCTTACTTTTAAAGATATATTTTATATAATGTGGTTGGATGAGAGACAAGAACATATGAGTCAACACTGTATATAGGCATTTTCAGCTTTTGTACCTAACTGTAAGCTGCTGTTCAAAATTAAAGCAAAAATTCACAGTATCTGTTTAAAAATATAGCATTTTGCAGTTACAGTTTTTCTAGAGATAGCTATGTAGGATGCCCAGTGCTCTTTTCAAATGTTTCCAGTTATAGAAAAATGCTAATAATTGGTACTGCATAAAATACAAATAACATTTTTGGTAATTGGCAACAATGCTTTTATTTTGATTGCTGAATAATCTCATGTTTAGGTTATGTTTAAGTAATGCAAACTCCCAAGCACATTACACTGATACTGAATGTATGAGCTCTGTCAGTTCTGTGTAATGAGTTAAATGAAATTGAAGTTTGCAGCCTTCAAGGAGAATAAATGTGGATAGGAGTCCTAAATAATTTGCCTGACATGTTTACTGTTGAACTGAATGAATGAAAATTATATGCTGTTTCTATTTCAACAGTTCACATACAATTATGAAAGGATGTGAAAGAAAGTGACTGATATATAATAGAGTTTCTATATTTTTTTAATAGGCATATCACAGGTAGGCTGCAAATATGTGGAAACTGCTACTATAGAGGGTAAAAAGAAAGTTTTTGCAGCTTAGATATGGTATTTTTAATTTTAAATAACTAAAGATAGGTAGCTTCCTTCAATATATATACAGTATTCATAAGATGAATCGCTGAGTATAATAAAGTAGAACATAAAAAGTTGTATAATTTGGAGAGTGCCACTTTGGGAAATGTTGCTAATGTAATGTTAATGTTGCTAATGTACTGTAATGTTAATACAAATCTGAAATGCAAAGTGCATTTTAGCTATCATTGCTAAACTGCTATAACTCTTCTTGTGTGTGTGTGGGCATGTGCATGCATGTATGAATGGTCCTTCAGTCTTGTTTTCTGACTGGATAAAAAAACTCCCTGCAGTTTTTTTGGTAAGATCTTTGAAAGTGGTTTGTCATTCTTCTTTTTCTAGGACTGAGACAGTGGCTAGCCCACTAGCCAGTGACTAGCTGGCTTCATGCCTAAAATTCCCAGTTTTTACCCTGGTATCTTACTTACATACATATTTACTTACTTATTGCTTATTTATATCCCACCTTTATTATTTTTAAAAATAACTTGAGGCATCTACCATACTTAATACTCCTTCCTCCTCCATAACAATCTTATGAGGTGGTTGAGCTGTGAGAGAGTGACCAGTCCAAAGTCACCCAGCTGGATTTCATGCCTAAGGCAGGACTAGAACTCACAGATTCCTGGTTTCTAGCCTTATGCCTTAACCATTAGATCAAAATGGCTCTTTATAACTCTGTTAATATAATGTTACTATTCCCTCTTATCTACAGAAATTATAACCTTCTGATATATATTTCCAGCTGAAAGATATGTTTCCTGGTTTTCGACTGGCATTGCCCCCAAAGCGTTGGTTCAAGGATAATTATAATCCTGACTTCCTAGAAGACAGACAGCTAGGACTCCAAGCATTTCTGCAGAATTTAGTAGCTCACAAAGACATTGCCAACTGGTATGTAATTTTTTTAAAACTATACTCATCTTAGCAGATGTTGCAGCTCTCCTTTTCCTCATTTAAATGGTACTGTTACTTTTCCAGAGGGTGTAAATAATTTTCTTCTGTAAACAAAGTATTTAATAAGACAAGAAGAATTTAGCAATGCATTACATTTTAAATAATTCTGACACTGCAAGGTTCAATTTCAGAGGCTTTATTCTTTTTTAATAGTAGAGATTCAGAATAGTGATTGTAATGTCTTGCCAGACTAAAATGGATAGAACATATAAAGCTGTATCTTTTGTATTCTTGCTGAATATTTCAATACAGAAGCAGGGAATGTGTGAATGACTGAATGAGAGATAGAATAGTAGTCACAAAAATAGACACCACCTGGTAGACAACTGTCAGCTCTGCTACATAGGCACTTGATTTGGATACTCTTAGAGCATATTTGTTGTCTGTCCCAGATGTTTCACCCTTTAATATTGCAGCTGCACAAACTTCTTTCAGAATATTTTTGTAGAACAGACTTTATTTTTAGCTTTATTTTTGCTTAACCATGGCTTGTTGAATAGCTGGATTTTCACAGTGTGCTAAAACAAAACAAAACTAGTCAGACACACTGTGACTTAGTTAAATCTATGAACTTGGCTGCTTTTGTGGGTATTAAATATGATTTTCTTTTAATAATACCTCAAGTATCTGGGGAAAAAACAATAATAATTAAAAGTTTGGATCTCACTTCTAAGGAGTAAATAAACACAACAATAGATGAAGGCATTGTTGATTAGCTATTTGGTTTCCAACTATATCAAGACAATTCTTAATCATGAGTACATTTCCCTTTTTATATTTTTGTGATATGCATGAAATATAGTGAAACATACTGTACTGATTCTACAGTAGTGTGTGAGAAACATTTCTGGATGATAAAGATAGGTAAAATTTTATTAGTAAGTTTTTCTTGTTATTTTAAATGTTAATAAGCACATTATTTCCCATTATTTTCTTTGTTCTCAATTCTGTTTGTATCTGGACCTTTGTTGTAAAAGAAAGCTGAGAAAAGCTTTACTAAAGACATAATGTTAGTGTATATTTTATTATAGTCCTAATAACCTCCCTCCACCACACTCCTCAGTGCTCAGCCTCCGAAAAATAAATCCCATGAGATTCAATGGGAATAGTCCCAGATTAGCACAAACCTGTAGCCTCCATTCACTACTAAGACCATATAAACAAGAATTTATTAAAACTGTTCAAGTCATTCTTCCTATATTAGTGTTATTTGTTTAATAGGAATGTTCAAAATCATGGACATATCACAGAATACACACTACTTCTAAGGACTGAAGTCATTCAAATCATTGCCCTTTGTGAATATTCAAAACTGAAGAAAACTTAAATGTATATATTTGAGACCAGTATTATCACTGTTGTCTTCTTCCTTCTCCTTCTTTTCCTCAGTCTATCAATATTAATTGCTTGATGCTGTTTTTTTTCTGTTTTCAGCATAGTTAGTGACCCAGATATGGATACAAGCATAAATGTTTTTACTGCTTTAACTGCAACTTTCTGTAGAAGACACATAAGTAATAACTAATAATGGTTGCTACTGTCTTGTTATTGAAGAGTTAAAGGCATATTACTTGTTAACTGATCCCAACAGGCTCAAGATTGACTCAGCCTTTCATCCTTCTGAGGTCAGTAAAATGAGGACCCAGATTGTGGGGAGCAATACGCTGACATTGTAAATCTAGCTAGAGAGTGCTCTAAAGCAGTATGGGGTGGTATATAAGTCTAAGTGTGATTGCTATTAAATTGTAATCTCAATATAGTAGTTTGTAACAGCTCTCAGGTGCCTTAAAACCTAAAACTTAAATTTTCTTTCTTGAAGTTCTGCTAACAAAATCCCAAATCAACCAAATTTTAGCCAATTTGTTGACCAGCCCGTTCCACTATATCAGTGTTTCTCAACCTTGACAATTTTAAGGCATGTGGACTTCAACTCCCAGAATTCCACAGCCAGCAATGCTGGCTGTGGAATTCTGGGAGTTGAAGTCCACATGCCTTAAAATTGTCAAGGTTGAGAAACACTGCACTATATGGTTAGATTACACAAAATATGATTTAACTAAAGTAGCTAGCTACATTATATCTTGTTTCAAACAAGGGCTAGTTGGTTCTCTGTACTAAGGCTTGAAAGCACAAGTTCTCTGTGCGGTTTTTTCCTACTTATCTAGCACCTAGAAGCATACTGCCATCTGAGGTTTATTTTCAAATGTGGTTGTGAAAGAGTTACCAAATTGCATATTTAAGTCGCATTTTTTCTTAATGAAAGCTTTGCTTTCATAGGATGACTACTGTTATACAGGCTATAAGCTGCATTGCTAATGAAATTACTTGTCTTCTTGTAAAGGCAACTGACATGTTTAGATAAGTGCATAGAAGTTTACACTTTATTATCATACTTTGATATTGACTAGTTAATATTTAGTTTGATAGTTCTGTATTTTTGGAACAGTTCTTTTAACTTGACAATTCATTCTGAATGTGTTACAAAATAAGTAAAGTCCAGGGCAAATTGGACAATAGCAAGCAGCAGTACTTCATAAAATAAACTGTTCTGAGATGGCCTTTTGCAGCCCAATCTCACTTCTTTTCAAAACAGGAGCTACCGATAAAAATATCCACTGCAACATAATTATGTTTAGAAAAGGTGACCTTTTCCATACATATCAGATGAAGAAAAAGAGTGTTGTTTCCATTTTTCTAGGTAAATTTTAGTACCATATTATTTCTCCTTCTCTCTGCCTTACCAAAGTGTAAACTGACAATTTACAGTAGGATTCTACAAGTTGATTTTTTTATATTTTCTTTTGGTGTGGTAATATAAAGTTGCCTCTAAGATGACTAAATCGAATGAATGAATGAATGAATGAATGAATGAATGAATGATGATAAAATAAAATAAAGGACTTTTGTAACTTCACAGTAGGAATTTTGTGATGACAACAGTCAATATTCCGGGTTTTACTTTGCAGTGTTAGAACTATTACCTGTGATGTATTTTACTTTAAAAAAAGCAATTTTGTTTTTAAGAAAACCTAAACAACAATTTATTTCTAAAAATATATTAGCTAATGTATGGAATAGATATACTGAAATGAATGTCTTCACTCACATTTCTTACAATGGAAGGTTTTTTTCCATTTTGATAATATTTCATGCTGTAGCCACAGCTATTTACAGATTTCATTGGAATCTAAGGATAGACTTCTTAAAAGAAATAATTCTACAAATTGGGTTATGTAGCAATCTGTTGGAAAAAATGTGGACTCATACTTATCTATAACTGCTGATAATTTATAAGATAATGTAGTCCATAAATTGAACAAAAAGGCAGGAAGAAAAAGTTGGATTTATCAAGTAAGCCATTTACAGCATACCAGTTCCTTAAATGATGTTGACTACCGGTATCTTAAATTCAAATTACACATGGTTTGTGCTCAAGGAAAATGAGTGTAACTGAACTATTAATTTTACTTTTATCTTGAACTACCTTTTCAAAACATTTCACTCTTTTTAATAACATGTATTCTTACTAGAGAGAAAATTACATTCAAACCTTTGCCTCTAATTATGTTTTGCATCTGTCTCTATAAATTTTAATAATGCAGCTAATTCCTATTTGGGGAAGCATTACTGTACAACATTGGCATATTTCCAGTATGCACTCCATATTGTCCTGTATTTTCGTTGTCAATTGCTCTTATTTTCCATTGTTTTCAAAGCCTTGCAGTAAGGGAGTTTCTTTGTTTGGATGACCCACCAGGACCCTTTGATAGCCTTGAGGAGAGCAGGGTAAGTGCATTGGAAGAATTTGTTTTTAGAAGAGAAGATTTTAATTGCACAGTGACCTACGTTTTATCACTTAGCGCCTTTATGTGAATAGCAGCAACTTTTTGTTCTTTTTCTAACTATAAATTAAATACAGTCATCATGTAGCAACATAGTTCAAATGAATAATCTATGGACTGTATACGAACAGAGCTGGGAACCAAAATGCAAGGAGATGAATCTAGCAAAAGAGTGGAAGTGAAAAGAACAGATAGAGGGGAAAAGAATTTGGGAAACATAAAAATTACTACACAGATTCCTCAGCTTTGTTCATGCCATGTGTATGTTCCCTTTTATTGTATTTATATTTAGATGTGATTTATTTATTTGTTTATAGGCTTTTAAAATTATTTCAGTCATGATGTGCAATTGAATGGGGGTTTTTTATTCTTTTTCTTTGCATAAATGTTAAATATCATGTGTTTCCCACCCTGTATATAATTCTAGAATACTGAGCCAAGTATGAAATATTATAAAAATATATTTCAGGTAGTTGATGTACTTGCCTTATCAACAATTTCCTTATTTAAATTATCTTACTTGTTATTGTAATAAGAGATAAAAGTATATGTTCATATTTTTGCGAATGTATTAGAGCCACTAAATTTTTTGACATGGTACAAATAGTATTTTGAAAATTCATAAAATTGCTACCATTAAGCAAAAGGGATATGGAATAATTTATAGTTTGGGACCATTTCCAGCAAATATAATTGAAACAGCTTAGTGCTTAACATTAACACATTACAGACATTTTCTCTGTTGTTTTGAACTCTATACTGTATTTTGTATTTATAACTATCACTATGGATTTCATTTTTAAATCGTTATTTAATATGGATTTAATGACAATCTTAAAAAATAATAACTTTGCATATGGCTATTGATGCTCATTGGATTTTTTTTTAAAAAAAAGATTGAACCTAGTTTATATCCAGTGCCAACTTCCAAATATTTTTAACGGTAGCGTATAAATAGTATTGTCAGAAGTGTTTTGCAATATCTAACAACTTCAGTAGTTAACCGAAAAGGCTACAATGCCAAATGAGATATCCTACCAAATTAATATTTTCTGGCACCATATAGATGATAAATTAAGAACTGCAAACTTCTCACTGTTACCTATAGGTTTGCTTTTAAGAGAACAATTGTTCATTGGTCAGTGCTTCCTTATTCACTACACTAAACAGTTCTATACACATAACATTTTGCTATAAGGGAAGAATAATGCTGCACTTCAGAACTGTATTTATATACACTGAAAATGCAGAATCCCCATACTATATTTGTCACATATGGATGATAAATGGGAGTCCAACAAAAATTATTTGGTTATCTGAACTAAAGTATATAATTTAAGTATATAATTTACTTCACAGAATGGTGGATGTAAAAGAAAGGAAAAGGCATTCTCAAGTCTAACTTCATAAAGACACATCTATGCAGTTTTCTCAAAAACATTGTTTGCCTTTGTCATCTTGCATCTTGTGCATCTTTAATTTCCAGCTCTAACTTCCTGATTCATACACTCTGATGATTTTTTTAATCCAAGGACTAATCAGACCAGCCCTAATTAGCAGCTGAGTACAGACAAGATCAGTTAGGTGCTATAACCTGGTGAGGCTACCAGTGGGCTTAGCATTCATGTCAGAGACATTTGAGCAACCTCTTGAGTTTCTTGTTTTTTTTATTATGGTTAAGATATACAAATAACAGGTTTCCATAATTACTCTTTCAAAATCTGAATAGTGTGTGTACACATACATACCCTCTAGGCTTATTTACTTAAGTAAAGTATAGCCCACCTCAGTTTTGATTTTTATCCTTAAATAGAGATGTTTGAGGCAGTTACACAATCTTGTCATCCTTTTTGATGAAATTAACTGATCAAATCAAAAGTTTATCCAGAAGAAAAATTAATAATTTTGCTGGTTATTAGTTTTCTAACTAAATGTACAGGAATATCAGTATAACATTCTAGATATAGCATGTTGTAGCATTTAGTGTACCTTACACAGTATAAAGAATTTAGTTTAGTTAAATCAACAGATTTAACTGAGATTCCATTAAAATTACTACCAAGAATAAGTCTTGGTAGTCAGTGCTACAAATTTATATCCTATTGCTGTAATGGAAGATTCATAATTCTGCAATATGTGAGCAGAAAACCTGGAAGGTGTTACATTTTCATTATAGAGTTGTCCAATAATTAGGGAATGATAGCTTAATTACATTATTACTATCTCAGAATATTTATGTTCAATAAAGGGAAATCAAATCCAAGTGATGTTAATTGTGTACATGTAAAAATAACACATAACTGTATGTTGCTTTTTACAAAAAAAACTTACTTTCAAAAATTTAAATTTTCTTCTAGGCTTTTTGTGAAACTTTGGAGGAAACAAATTACCGGCTTCAAAAGGAACTTAATGAAAAACAAAAAGAGGTGGAAACTCTGAAAAAGTTGTTAAATGAAAAAGAATTGTACATAAATGAAATGGAGAAAAGACATGGGTAAGACTGAAATAAAGCTGCTCACCAGAAATATCACTATCATAGCTAGTGATATGAATCTAATACTTTAGGATTTCTGAATGCTTCCTTGTATTTATTTATTTTTCAAATTTCTATAGCTGCCCAACTCACAAACAAATGACTCTGGGAGGCCTACAACAAAGTAAAAAAAAAATAGTTCACAAATAACAGTTATAATTATTAAAAGCATTAAAAACTATAAAACACAGCTAAACAAAAATCAACAAAGGGATATTAATAATAACAGAGACATCTTACTATTGGCCAGTTCCCCAGGGGACCCCCAAAAGGCAGGAAATACTTGAAGAGATTGTAATCAAAAAGGAAATTTTAAGTTTTGTCTCTGTGCACCAAGAACATGTATAAGACTTTATGATACAATCCGTATCATGTCTTAACTTCTTTTTGAAAAGGAGAATGAGAAAATTGCAACAGAGCTTGCAGTCTCTTGGGGGGGGATTAAGTATTCAGAGATGGAATGCTTTTCTGGCAAAGGTCATTTTCAGAATTAAATATTCTGTTTATATTTAATAATTTCAGAAATATTCAATTTGATAATTCCAGACACAAGATAAATGGTATCAGAGATGATTTTATCTTCAGTGAACATTATTCAACATACATTCAGTATGTAATGTTAATGGTTGTAATAATAAGGAAAATTACTGCTTTGTTCCATCAATAGAAAGCTGCACTTTAAAAGAATTAGTGAAATGTAATTATTCCTAGAAAATTCTTCTAAGGCTGCAGTTTTATCCCCAGTTTCTAGGAGCAAACTCCAGTGACTCTTTTAAATACATGTGCATAGTTTTCCCCAACGAAGAGCTTTTCCCCAGAGACATTTTTTATAATAATTTCCAGCTAAAATAAAATACCTGCCTTGATTTTGTTACAGGGACTTAAATTTAGTGGAAACAAAGTCTTGTAAATTGTCAGGAGAGGGAAGTGAATGCAGTGGAGAAGTGGAGTCATCCGCAACAGAGGCAGATCAAAGAACTTTGGACGAAGACAGCCGGTAAATTATCATTCAATAGTTTTATTTAAAGTTAATCTCTGAAATGCAAATCATCTGCAAGCTTAAAACAGTCCTGCAAATATTTCAGGCATTTTGCTGGAGTTATTTTCCATGGGATTGTGCCTTTATATAATCCAACATAGTAAATTTTATATTATTGTCTTCACGTTTCTATATAATACTTGCATGTACTTGGGTTTTCAAATGCTTTTCTACCATTCAAAAAGTCATTGGATGAAATTGAAATTGAAAATCAATTAATTGATGCTGATAGGTCTTCAGTTGGCTATCTGCTGAAGAAATTGCATGCCATTATAATTTGTAGGATATGGATATTATATAAAACATGAGCCCAGCAATTTGTAGATAGACGGTGTTCCCAAACTTGTAGTTTTAAAACATAGCACATATTAGGACTGAGTGATAGACAGAGCTTGTTAGCTCACATTTTTATGATAAATATTTTGATCTGAATCTGCAGGTCTGAAAAAGAGGATTGGAAAACCTCTTGGAGTGGGTCACTGGTAGAAAACTTTGTGCCAGAAATTGAAGTAGCCGAAGTGGCATATACTGCTGATATAGTGATGTAAGCATGACTTGTTTTGCTTTATTTTGTTTTTGTTTTTTAAAAAAAGATCTATCTGGAAGTTGTTGAACAAAAGCAGTAGAACTGAAGATGATAGGAATGTTTACATAAATCACTCGGAATACATTTTTGACACAAGAAAAATAATCAGTGCTGCTGCTTTAATTCATTTGTTATCTAAGATATATAGATATGTGGAGAACTATATTAATATATAAAAAACTCTGGTTAAGTTTATGCTATGCCTAGAATCCTAAGTAGTGTGTATAATTTAGCAGTAGATAAAGGTTAAATGTCAATTATCATTTGGCTTGTCACACCTGTTTGCTACTAATATGTGACCTATTTTTTATGAGCAGCTTTTGGTATCTGATTTTGCGGATTCTTTATATAGGATATAGTTTTATGCTCTGGAAATAAAATTCTGCCATCAGGCCTCAGAAACAGTATATGATCTCTCATGTTTTTAAAACGATAAATTTAAATAACTTATAAGTATGTTTTAATGCAATAAACTAGAAAAGCTTACAATACCAAAATAATATTTCAGATATAGGAATAAGATTAGGAGGTTTTTATAATGGGAGAGGGAGAATCATAGGCAATTAACTGTATAGCCTAGGTATACTGTAGATGGCCATGTACACTTGAAAATAATGTAAAAACTGATTTAATATTGTACCTGTTTTTTCTTTACATCTTATGATAATTTTGCTACATAATCAATGACTGCCTTAGATATATATAAAAAACACTACCTCCTACTTTTTACTTATGCATAAGTGTGCTGTTTAATGCCTATTCAATATGTATATGAATGATAATGGCCATTCGTTAAAGCCATACTTCTGCGCCGTTAAGAAATCTAGTTGCAGTTTGTATGAAGATACCAGGGATTCTGTAGCTTACTTACAAATTGTGTTATGCCCAACAATGCACTTTATTGTAAACAGACACCTTGTGTCAAGATCATTGGCACATGCGTACACAGAGACACATGCACACACCCATGCATATCTTTTGATCGAGGAAAGGTGAAGTGATTTGCACAATCATGTCTCTTTCTATTATGCTTGTTACACATGTTTACTGCAGTGTGGGTCAGCTTTATGGAATCTCCAGAAACATTTTACTGAGCGGCTGTTTGCTCAAAGTGCCTTTTGTCTCTTCTTCCAGTGAAAAGAAAGCAAGCTTTGTTGTTCTTTATGTCATTTACTCTTTGTTTGTCTTAATGTTGTTAGCACACAAGTCTCCATGTGCTTGGACTTTTCAATGTTCACTTTGTAATTTTGGGATATGAGGAAAAACACTCTGTAGAACTGTATAAAGCTGTCTGAGGAAAATAAAGATTTGGATATGACATTTTTTGCCGTCTTTTGTGGAAAAAAATTCAAAGTAAAGGTAAAGGTTTCCTCATATTAAAGTTGACTTCAGTGACACATGCATGCATGTCACACTTGCATACTTGCCCATCAAAGTTTTATCTGCATTACTTATATTATGAAATATATTCATTGTATGAAAGTATAAGATACATTTCGAGTATCATACAGATTTCTCAATTACTGCTTATTCCTACAGCTCCTAATACCATCTCTAAATTTATCCTTAATGTCTCTCAATATTCAAGTCATCCTTCAGGAATTGACGAAATATAACTAATAGTTATTTTCCCCTCATTTATGAACTTCCACTGGACACAGGTCTTCCATGAATACAGAAGGGCATGGCTGGATCTAGTCCTGTATTATATTATTACTTGGCATGTTGATATATTTTTAAATAATTAATTAATTTAAATAATTAAATAATGTTTTGTGATTATTTTTAAAAGCTAATCTTTGTTTGCTGGCAAATCTTGTTTAATGACATTATTAGTTACCAAGAAAGTTCTATTTGTATGGAAAAAAAAAAGACAAGACATGGTGGCTGAAAAAAGGGGTGCTGGGGTGTCAATATGGAGGAAAGATCTTCGTAGAATAAAATAATAATTAAGATAGTCTAATGAAAAGATGGTAAAGATGAGAATGTGGAAAGAGTTTTGAGACTTTTGAACTTTGGTGTTTGAGAAGACTCTCAGAAATAACCTGCACAACTCAGAAAACAAATCAACTTAGCATTATTGCTTGAGGCACAAATATCCCAACTCTCATATTTAGGAGAAATCATGAGAAGATCAGCTCCCTTGAACAGTTTCTAATGTGAGAAACTGGAATGAATGAGATGAAGAGAATGATTAGTAGCAAGGTGAATGGATTTGATTGCAGTAGAAAGGAACATGTACAGAGAGCAAAATAGCAAAACAACCAGGTGGAAAACAAATCATAATAGAAAAAGGCAATGTAGTCACAAAGAATCAACACTGACTTGACAGCACCTATTCAATCAATCAAGAAAAGATTTTAACAAAGCTTTGGAAGTATGGTAATACATAGTAAGTACTAGGAACTGTAAGTAGAATCTGCATCAAAATATTGCAGAGTGGAATGGCAACATTGTTTCAAGGTAACAATGCCTTCCTGAAGGAAATAATTTCTACCGTATACCCACCCTGCTTCCTTAGATCTTTTTGCTAATCGATAGTCATTTTGTAACTGGATGTGATCAGTTCATATTGCACTGAGTTTCTTGAGGTGTTCCTCTTTCAAACCCCCATGCCTTCTATATTCTCACTTGCTTTCCTTCCTACATCTCATCCCATTTGCCTAAGCAAGTTAGCTGAGTAGTCCTGGCATTCATTTGTTTGACTTTTTCCTCTTCACAAAAGCATGTTTGTGTAGTTTCTAGTTTTTTCATCTTTATCTCAATCTGATTTGTTTTTCCAGTTGTTTTATGCTTGATAGAAATCTTAGGATCTGCCCAAATGTGGTTTGGTTGGTTGTTTAGGTCACATAATAATTAGCATAAGCCCCAAATTTCACTTTTAATAATAAGTAAATATATATGTTCTTTTTTTAGCCTTGCTGACTCTTCAAATCATCTCACTTCTTTGGAAACACCATTCTAATCATTTAGAGCAAGAACAAAATTGTTCTGCTCCTTGAGGAATTAAAAGATAGAAAGGTAATCAAACTAATAAAAGGAAGCTGCAAAATTGGGCGTGGACTTTTCCCCATACAGTTAATTCCGGGTGCTACTCTTCACAAATCAATATTAATAGGCTTGACCCTACAGGCATTCAATCTGAAATCTATTTCACCATGTCCCAGATCTGTTTCCTAGAGATCCCTGGGTGTCAGTAACTTGGAAAAATTACAATTGAAATAAGAAACAAATAGTCCAGAGCTGTAATTTCCAAATATTTCTTCTATATGGTGTTTAAACTAGGGGAGGTAAGAATGCCAATGTGCCAACAGAAAATATTTGTTTAAGCTTAATTTGCAATGGGGAGTAATGGAGGAATTTCAAAGCATAGGTGTACAAATGAAAGGGAAGGGTAATCTTCCTCTTTATCCTGTGACCCCTACAAAACAATTAAGTTTAGAAAAAATGTTTTCACTGCCGCCAATTATTTTTTTCAGCTTGATTGCCCAGCAAGAAAAAGGATTTGCAGCATTTCAACGCTCTACTTCCTATGTGCTTTAACACTCCAAATTCCACAGAATCCCTTTCTCCCCTGTGCTGTATGTCTTTTTCCCCCCTCTTTTTTAAATCAATGCTATTGGCCAGAGCATTAACAAACTAATATTAAATGTCATCAGCAGTGTGTGCATTTGTGAGCTCTGGTCTATTCAGACAAAAAGGTATTTTACATTGGGACAACAAAATATCACATGGGCATGTCAGTTTCTTAATATGTAGTTTCTTTTCCCAAATAAAATTCTACCCTCCTGTGTCTCTCTGGAAATGATCATTTGTGCACATTCTTTCCTCTGCTTTGTTTTCTCATTGAAGATCTGGCACCTTGCCTCACTTTCCGCCATCTACCCAGTGGATTGTAAATTATTGCAGTGACAGCAACTTGGAGGATCAGCAAATTGGCTTTGTTCTGTGTGTGGGACTTGACCTCCCAACAGTTTGCAATATGAAAAGCTTCAATGGGCAAGATTTAAAATCAAACATATTCCACTACCAAACTGGAAACACTATTCAAGTTAGTAACTAGTCTTGATTCCTTAAGAAGTATTCTATTTGCAAATTTGCCTTTCTATGATGCATTGCTATCATGATACAAAATTATGCTGACCTTAGAAAGTATGTAGAGATGATGATCAAAGATGATAAAGGGTCCAGAAGCTAAATTGTATGACAAATGATTGAGGAACCCAAGTAAATCTAAGCTATCAAAGAGAAGGATCAGGGGAGACATGATAACTGTCTTCCCAGTACTTCCAGTACAGTCACAAAGAAGAGTGGATTGACTTATTCTTCAAAGCACCAGAGGGCAGGACAAGAATTAATGGGTGGAACTTGTTAAAGACTGATCCAGCCTAGAAGTAAGGAGAAATTTTCTGACAGAACAATTAATCAATGAAAAAGCTTGCTGCCCAAAGTTCTAGGTGCTCCATCACTGGAGGTTTTCAAAAATAGACTGGACAACCATTTGACCGGGATTGGACTAGGAGGACTTTGAGGTCCCTTCCAGCACTATGATTCTAAATTCTATGTTTTGTAAATCTGCTCTTGTTTGGGATGCATATTTTGTGCAAATAGTATTTGCATAGCTGTACAAAATACTGCACACCCAGCTGAAAGCACTTCTTTAGCACATTACTAGGTTTTAAAGCACATTATGTATCTTTCCAACAAATCTTCAAAAATTGGTATCATTCTTTCATATGAAGCTGAGAGCATGCCCAGTCCATCTACTGAGATCTGAGAATCCCGTTGGAATTGTACATTTTGCCATTCTTATGTAAGTTGTTTATTGAAGTATTTGTAATGTATGGCTTTGTAGAACTTAAGGAGGAAAGTGAAGGAGACAGAAGAGAGAGCTTTGTCCATGTTAGAATGCGGCAAGCACTCCCTGGAATGCCGGGGAATTGCAAATGACCATCAAAGGAATTTCAGAAATCAAAAGAATTGGATTTGAAAGAGAATGAGATTGTTCTGACAGGGTGTCTATCAAATTTAATATTTTGATACAATATCAGAGAAGGAGAGGTTGCCGGGAGGCTGCTAAATCTGAACGGCAATCAAGTTGGTAAGGTGGTTAATTAGAGGAAATGTTCATTTAGAATTGTGCCTAATTTTTCCAGTCTTCAGAGACTACCTTGACCTTAACAAAAACTCTCCTTCTGATGTGCAAAACTTGTAATCATTGAGGTAATTCACAAATAGAAAGTATTTTTAACAAGGCACATTTTATTATGAAACACTATTTTTCATACTCAAAAAATAGATTTCTTTCAGAAAAGAGTCCTTCAGTCGCTCTGAGGAAGACATTTGGTTAACTTAAACAGTGCAGTGTTAGATGTGAAAGTGAGAATAAATCTCTGAGAGGTAGCTATATTCTCACTTAAGAAAGCTCAAGTCTCTTGGTCAGAGAGGCAGAAAAATTTCAGTACGCAAGTTCAAAGGAATGTGTTTGAACACAATGGCCTTTTCACAAAGGAACAAAAGAGATCTCAAGGAGTAAGAGGAAGAACTACTGATGTGTGGGAGGTAAGTAGTGGATATGACAAGTTTTTCAATCCTTGCCCAACAAGATTTGGATGTTTGTTTATTGCTTAAATTTAGTATACTGGCATCCTTGCCCATGAATTAGCAAGTGCAAATTTCTACACAGACAAATTGCTTTGGTCCTTTCAGTATTGAATAGTGGCTTTGTCACATGTGCATTGTTAAACTCATTGTGGTTACAGTGTGGATTCAGAAAATGCAATTAACTCTGGGATAAAATTAGTCTGAAAAATACTTGAAGTCCCATTGACTTGAGGGAGAATTAAATATGTACTTAAACAGAATGGAGCTTAAAGCAACTTGTCTCTAGTAATATAGTACTTCTGGCTGTTTATAAACTATAGACAAATGTGGTAAAAAGACCTAAGTAAATCCTCAGGAGTTTAATATTAAAATTAATGCTATGTTTCTGTGCATGGCAGAATATGTTTATAATCCAGCAGCTATTGTAGCTGCTAGAATAAATCTATATAATATTGACAGAGAGGTGCTCAAATGCACATGTTGCAGCAAGGCCCTCTCTCTAATTGACATTTTGCTGACAGGCTGAGTTTAATATAATCAATCCCTATTTGAGTTGTTCAAGTATAATCAGGAATTCTTTTTAACTTAGATCTATCAGTTATTTGAGGCATTAGTAAAAATACCAAACTATTAACACTTTTGTGTTCCCTTTCACAATTCTGCACTGATCTTTTTCATAAATCCCCAAATTCATTAACAGCTAGCTTTTTAACA